AGCGTGGCACTTGTTCCTAGTAGCTTCTTGTTACTACTAGTGAGGCACTTGTTACCAGAAGCGATGCACTTGTTACTAGTAGCTTCTTGTTTCAACATATAACTTGTAGGTTTGCCAGGCGAGGTGTGGGGTCTAAAAGCGTGTCTTAAGGTCATCTACAAATTCCGCGCACAAGACACGTAATTCATCGCAAGCAAACAACCAGATGTGACTTGTGGGTTGTAATTGGATTCAATGCTTGCAACCTTTAGCACGTGCAAGAATCACTCCCTTTAAATGCCGAGATCCTCGACACTGCTCAAACTGATGGGTTTACCAAAGTTGTGCTCTTGGCATATTTCTCTCAAAGAACCATGAAACTGCGACAAACAGGCGAAGAAATCGGTTGGACCATTGTTCCTGGACCAATCAGACTCATTGAGCAGGCTCATGTCATCATTGAACATCCGAAAGGGGTCGCCCAAACACGCTGTCCTGACCGCCATGGAGTGCCAGTGGAGGGTAGCCATACTTCAAAAGCTCTGTGAACATCTCATCCACGTCCTGTGGGAATGGGAGAGACATGAATGCGACGAGCTGATCTCGAAAGCCAGTGATCTGAGCTGAGCTTGGGAGACTTCTCGTTGCATGAAGTGATCTAGTGGGCCATGTTCAACCTAGCTTGGCCCAGCTTGCGGTCCTTCTGCTGGTGCACGAAAATGATGATGGCACCTCAGCGTTCGGAAAACTAATCTGACAATTCCAGTGCAAACGACTTACACGACTTAAGATAGTGGTGGCAAACGGTGGTGTACAGTACACCGAAAGGACATTGATGACAATCACCAGTATTCCGAACCATTCGCTTCTAGGTTGGGATAGACCAGCGTCGAGCAGTGATTTGCCGCGCCTGTGTGGGCGGTGAACACTGTCCGCTGGTCTCTTTGGGGACGAGTTGAGACTCAATGCTTCACGTTTTCAAACGTCACACTGAACAGGACCACATGCGAACGCTTGGCAAGTCGGCGAACGACTTAGAGCTCTTTGGAGAACTCTTGAAGCATCGATCGTCCATCGGGAATGATCGTCCTTCCGGGTTGGGGTGCACATTGCCAGTCACACCAGATCATCACCTGTTCCAGTCTTGACACATTGAAACCCTCCTACTTGTCATGGATAAGAGCGTCCTGTGGGTATATCATGTGCAATCTGGCATGTAAGTGCAGACATGCAACTCTCAAAAGCAACACTCATGCAAGCTGCTTGGAAGTGTGCCGTACAAGTAGCTGGGGTCGAAGCCAAATCCAAAGGCCAAAGTCTCCAGGCTGCTTGGCAAGGTGACAGTGCCAATGCTCCGGTCGAATAAAGGAAAGGTCAAAGTCTGCAGGTTGCTTGGCAAGGTGACGCTTTGCAAGCTCTGGTTGAACTCAGCATCAAACCTCAAAGTCTGCAGGCTGCTGGACCAGGTGACACCTTCTAAGCTCTGGTTCAAGTCGTAGCCGAAGGCCAAAGTCTGCAGGCTGCTTGGCAAAGTGTGGAACATTTTCCCTTTGTTTGATGCACTAAAGGGAGGTCTGCAAGCAAGGACCATTGCGGAACAAGAAGCGTGCTCACACCAAACAAGACAAGCAGAGACTCCCAAAAAGAGTGCCTGTCATGTCGTTGTTTACCTATGATACATTGTACACTTTAACTTGTGAACCTCTTAGCATTGTCTTTGTGCAATAAGAGGGACCTTTGACCCCCAACCAGATCAAACAGTGAACAACCTCGGCATTTTTTGGACACGGTTTTTGTTTTGTGAGCCAGAACCATTTTGTGCATTTTGTGGTTCTTGATGGATTTGCTTGAGTGGCCTGCTACCACTTGAACGTATTGTTTGCTCAGCACTTGAAAGCCTGGTCAAATCTTTAAAAGGCAGTAAAAACGATGCATATTCCATACAAATTCATACATACCGTCTGAAACAACACTAGCTCAGGAATATCAAACACCGACCTGATTGGCCTCCTAGCTGTAGTTTCAATGGCGGTTCGCAATTTTGGGAGTGTACCAGGCCAGACTTTGGCGCCAGGGTCAGGTCGGTCAGGTGGGGTGCTCACGCTTGGCGTGAAGAAAATTGTTTCTGGAGTGGGGAGCTGAACCTCCAAGCTGGGCGGTCGATCGCATCGAAGGATGATGCGAAGAACAATTCTCGGTTTATTCAAAGGTGAGCAGGAGTATTTTCGCAGGATTCCGAAAGAGATACATCTAGAACATTCATGGGCGAACACGTGATATCCCCGTAGGCTTCCTTTGCAGTTTGGGCTAGGCCATCCCCCGACTGTCCAATTCCATGTCAGCAATGGGAGAGTAATTAATGTATATATATATAGTAGCAAGGACGCTACTAGGGGCTCCTGGCATCGCTACTAGGAGCAAGAAGCTACTAGGGGCTCCTGGCAGTACTACTAGGAGAAAGGACGCTACTAGGGGCTCCTGGCCTTACTACTAGGAACAAGAAGCTATTAGGAACCAAATCAACTCACAGGCCATCCCAGGCCTACCTTTCACGCCGGGGGTTCAGCTGGTTCAGCTTTAGCAAATCTCAAGTGGAATGGTGCTTCTCACAATAAATCAACAGGATTTGGAGACAATCCAAAACAAGGCGACAAGCATCCCGCATTCAACTCCGACACCTGGCAGTTTGAAGCCGCGACCAGAAAGGGGTGTACGGTGTTTCTTTGGCCAAGGCATGCCAAGGCACCATGCTCATGCCATTCTCCAAGGAGTTGCAAAAGCCGATAGAACTTCTGGCTCTCATCCAAGACCTGCTGTGAACCCGCCCGGATTTCCTGGGCTATTTTCTGAACAGCTGCCTTTTAGGTACAAACATGGGAATACAACACGTTGGAATACACGAAGTCTTAGGGGCATGGATGGGCCTTGACCAAGCACCCTTGAACGCTGGGACCATCGAACGAGTTCCTCTCGTGTTTCTTTTCGATTTGGGCAACTGGTAAGAGAGTCAAAGCGCAGTGGCGCGACCTGGGATCCCTGGATTTGCGACATGAGCATTTTCCAGTTTGCTCTACATGGGTTGAAAGCGCGAAGGCTTGATGTGCACCAGCGATGGTGGTATGTGTGAGTTCTTGGTCAAATAAAGACCAGTTACAAGCATGGTGTGAAAGACTCCTATCCAAATGGCCCTGGGTGTAGGTCAAAGGAATCATACATTGAGTGATACACAAACAAAATTGGAGGCCATCGCTACTAGGTCGAAGGCCATCGCAATTAGGTTAGAGGCCATCGCTCTTAGGTTGGAGGCCATTGCTGTTTGTAACCCCAAAGAAGATTGTTTTCTTTTTAGATTTAATCTCATGAGTTTGGAGGCCATCAAATGATCTGGACGAAACGAGTTCGAAACGAGTGAACTTCCGGCACCTCTACGAACTGAGTGACGTTCGTGGCCACTGCGTTGCGCTCGCCCACCTGCGCACGCAGGTGTCAAACCCAACGATGAAACTGTGGTCCAACGGAATGCAGTCCAAGGAGAAACCTGCGGTGCGATCCTCTCCTTTTCGGATGTTTGCAACGAACAACACTGGAGCACCAGCTGAAATCCACCCACAAACGGAACTGTGGGCCCTATCGCATCTCACTTGGTGCCAACTCTTTCCTGAGGGCCCCATCGCTAGTAGTAACAGGTGCCACGCTAGTAGTAACAGGTGCCTTACTAGTAGTAACAAGAAGCTAGTAGTAACAGGTGCCACGCTTGTACGTTTGCCTCAAACACGCAGGGCACCCTGGGGTGGCTCATTCTTTTCCGAGTGGAGAGACAGGGATACGTGGATGTCAGTGAACTGAACACTCAAACAAGTCCATCTTGCAAGACGTGCATCTTGCAAGAGGATGTTGCAACGCAGACCCCAAAGAGAAGAACTATGAAGCAAAACAAACACGCGAGAAAAACAGCGAACACCATAGCACATAAGTCTAACTATCGCCAAACAACAAAAGCTAATAACGCAACTTAAGTCAATGTAGTTGCACAGACGCTACTAGGGACTCCTGGCATCGCTACTAGGAGCAAGGACGCCACTGAACTCAATGTCTCAGCGTTTCAGTCCACCAACGTTCCCTGGGCCCCAACGGAGATCTCCAACGGCTTCTTCAAGACCTGCTCGAAGAATGGTGTCCGGTGTGGTGCTTCTAGTGACGCGGGATCAAAGCCAAAGCGTTTTTTCGTTTTAGACCTTTCTTCCTCTTCTTTCTTCGTTTCTAGTAGCGATGGCCTCCAACCTAGAAAATTGTGACAAAGCACAGCTAATGCTTCGTTCGTTCTTGTTGTCGACTAGCTACAAGCATTTCTTGGTTCGAGACTGATGCTGTGCTAGGGCTGTCCCTCTGAGCCGCAAGCAAATGTACAGGACGGAAAGAGAGTAGATGTTGCACTCGTTGCACTCCCCAATCCAGGTGGTTTATATAAACGTCCTCTTGGGGATGACGTACCATCTGTGAAACCACTTTACTTGCTTTGGTGAAACATGCCGCGCTCGGTTTGCACAGTTCTTTTCTCTTTCGACCAAACTCTTCGCCCCGACGCCTTGCGGGCTAATGCTTCCACATGGGCCGGCAGCGTGGCACTGAACATCGCCACCTCGCTCTGATGGAAAAGGAACCAAAGAGACACAAGCGATGGCCTCCACCCTAATAGCAATGGCCTCCACCCTATCCCCCCTACTAAAACCAAAGAGACCAGACCTTGGCTGTTGCAGAAACAAACCTTATGGTCAAAGTTTCTGGCCCCGTCCTGCCCGGGGTCTCCTGCAGCCACAAAAGGATCAAAGTTTCTGGCCCCAAATGGATGGCCAAATGCACAATTGGCACTGTCTTGTGGCATAAAATATTACAAGGGAATATGCGCAAGAGTTTTGTGATTGGGGGCCGGGGATGGATAAATATCTAAGGTGACCCCTAAAGCCCACATCCGCAAAGCAAACGTGAGCAACATCTGAGAGAACCTGATTCAGCGCTGTCCCAAAAGGTTTGTTGATGATGAGTACCCAAATAGTCAGTGTCTGCTGATGCTCAGCTCCAGCAGCTGGTTGATGATTTCCTGACAGAACATCCGCCAAAGGATCCAAAGCTAGCGCAAGCAGTGAAGGTGTGCAGAGTGCAGAACATGCACGTCTCTACGCACAAGAAGCTTTTCTTGCGGCTGGCAGATGAATACAAGCCTCTAGAAGAGGCCTTGGTCGCAGCGCTTGTGAAAGATGGAGGAGTGCAGCTTTTTGGCCAAGCACCGCGTGGGTCGCTTGAGAGACAAGCCATTGATTTGATGCAGAAGCTTGGTGTGAAGAACAACTGAGAGACAGTGACAGGTAGTGTGTGCGGGGCTTGCTAGGCACCAGCACTGAGCAATGCTCGCTGTGTGCCGTTTGCTCGCCTGTTCGTGCAACTCCACTATGCACATGATCGTGCATGGAGTGCGGTGATGTTAGTGAAGCAGGCTTCCTGCTTCTCACAGCAGCCACCTACACATATTTTCATTTTGTGCTGCTTTAGTGTCTTTGCCAGGTTGTACACTAAGGCGTAGCTGAGTGTGGACGTGGACGGCTGCCCTGTGGAGCGTGTGAGTGAGTGAGTGAGTGAGCGAGTGAGTGAGTGATGAGCACTTGTTCCTAGAAGCGTCCTTGTTACTACTAGTAAGGCACTTGTTACTAGAAGCGATGCACTTGTTCCTAGTAGCTGCCAAATAGTCAGTGTCTGCTGGCTCTTGCAAATTGTGTTACTGCCTGGCCTCCCACGTGCCCCTATGATTGATCCTAGCAACTCTCTTGCGACAGCATAACCGGAGGGGAGCTATGTGCAAACTTCTGCAATTGAAAACTTTTCCCATATTCACGGAGAAGAATGATTCGAGGCCCCTGCAATGATTGACAACCGACAACCATAGAAAGCCTATTGAAATCCCGATTGAGTCTAGACTACTCTTGGTCCAAATTGGCTAGAGTACTTGTTCACCTCTTCCGTTTGCGTTGAAAAAAGTTTGTCCCCGCCTTCGGCCCTCCCCAATTGCCATCGCCTGTTTGTCCGGTCGGGTGCTCTGCAAGAACATCCCGATCTGCGGCTCGAAGCCCATGTCAAACATCCGATCCGCCTCAGCAGAGCACTGTCGTGCCGCGGTGTTGTGGGTCTAATGCGACTAACTTGCAGCCATTTCTCACCTCACACTCCCAACTGTTGAGACACAACTACAAGTTAGGGCCATCGCTATTAGGTTGGAGGCCATCGCTCGTAGGTTGGAGGCCATTGCTATAATTAGTAACTTTCAGTAAATATTGCCTTCTTTTTCACCTAATTTCAAGAGTTGGGAAGTTTGGAGGCCATTACAAGTGGCATGGAAGGTGAATCTTTCACAATGCTTCGCACTGAAATGGATGTGTGGCTTTTTGGTTGCTGGGGATTCCTGGGGTCACTTGGGTGCTCGGTCCAGTCTGGTAGGACCAACTTGTTAATCTTCAGTTTCACAAGGAGCAAGGACGCTACTAGGGGCTCCTGGCGTCGCTACTAGGAGCAAGAAACTACTAGGGGCTCCTGGCCCTACTACTAGGGCAGTTACTAGGAGCAAGGACGCTACTAGGAGCAAGGATGGAATAGGAACACATACCATAAAGATCCAGCCTTCTGCCCTTGGACCTGTCGAAGAAAACGACTGAATGCCATGCCACCGAATTGCTTCCGCGCCATGGTTGGTTGTAGTTCCCGCTATGGTCTAGAATCAATCCAAAACCTCCAAGGTGTATTTCATCTTGACAGACCTTGACCAATGGCCCGGTTTGGGAAAGAAAACCACCCTTTCTCTGACTTCCGCTTCGGATACCACGCCCGGGGCCCGGTCCCCCTCGCCTCGTCAAGGACCAAGAAGGTCACCCGCCGGAGGTTGGTGATCTTCCCACCCGAGGTGGTCAGCACCTCGCTACTAGTAACAAAAAGCATCGCTACTAGGAGCAAGAACGCTACCAGCAGGGGCTCCTGGCATCGCTACTAGGAGCAAG